AATATGGGATGCAAATGGAAAGCTTAAAGGCAGTAGAAGGAAGGAATGCTTTGTTTCTTATAACCCTGGGGAGTTCTTTCTCTTTGGTAGTGATGATGGTGATTGATTTTTGTAGCAGGGGCAGAATCCAGTATGAATTTTCATTTGCATGTTGAGATACTTTCATACCCAAAAAACATCTGATATCAGCCTTGTAGCTGATTCTCATCAGAGGTATGAGATTCAACCCCATGACACTATTAACGATCTTGGGAATCCCAGAATAAGACAAGTAGCACCACCTTCTCTGAATTCCCTGTGTGTGTTTCCCCTTCTTTCACACTCTGAAACACTAGTTTGAGCCAAGCAGTGGGCCCTTCACGGAGGCCTGAGGTTCAGCTTTTCCACAGCTCGCCTCCCCATCTTTCATGGTGGTAATGACCTGCCAAATTTTTAACTTCACAGATTGCTTTCATGTCTTTTCAGTGACCTATTCAGTAGTTAATAATTCTTAATATTAAACTCTCTCTCTCCAACTAATTCCTGTGGTTACTGTATCCTGATTGATACTTGAGTTACACAATTAGCTTCATGGTTAATTGTTTGTTTGTTTGTTTGTTTTTGGTATCAGGGATTGAACTAGTGTCCTTGCGCTTGCGAGGCAGACAGCGGAACCACTGAGCCAAATCCCCAGCCCTTCATGGTCAATTTCTACCACTCAGAGTAGCCACCTGGCAGTAGTAACAGATTCAACAAAACTACTGAGCTCATACTGATGTTTCTATATTTGGAATACTTTTGATATTCATTTAGCATCTAGTTCATGCCAGGAACTGTTTGAAATGCTTCATTTTAATCTTTGCACCATTATAAGAGTTAAATATTATTTACATTCACAAACACTAACTCACTTGTTGGTTTGTGGTTCTAAAGCTGGTAAGAGGAGATGCTGGATTTATATTCTTGGATGTCAAACTTCAGAGTCTAAACTTTCACAGCAAGCAAGCTATGCTAACCTGGAACTTCTTCTTTGATCTCAGAATATTTCAAAGTTTTACAGGTAAACGTTCAGTATCCTTCTTTTCAGCACCTTTTCTCCCAGTCAACATTGGCCTTCTTTCCCCCGACTGCTCCGCAGAATCCCCCAGTGAATCTTTTCCCATCTGGCTCCGAAAGTCAAGCTTTCCACAACTCCACTGGGGCCTTCATATTCATGAAAGTTCTTGCCACTTTGAACCTGATCCACAATCCGCAGCATCTGTCTCTGAAACAATTGTGACACTTTCCTCCTTAAACTATTCAAGCATCAACTATTTAAGAATCCGGTCTTAAATCTTGAGCCCAGCATTGCAGATTTTCTGTGACGCAAACCTTACATTTCCTACCCAAGCACTGAGCCATCTTCAAATCAAACATTGTAAGAAAAGGTAATGAATGGTGTCTTGTCTTTTCCTCTGTAAACTGTGTGCAGTTTAAGGTACAGCGTATATGCTTTGTGAATTAAAATCTGAATGAATAAAAAGTGATATTGTATTCATTACTGAATGACATCTAGTCTTTTTCTGTTTCTATGAATTTATGTTTTCACCTTTCCTAAATTTTTGTGTCCTTTCCTCCTCCTCCTTCCTCCTCCTCTCTCTCTCTCTGGCTCTGTCTCTGTCTTTCTCTGAAAACTTCCAAGAGGTATATACCATATTTCATCCTTACTAAATTCCCCAAAGTGCCTTATTCATTGTGGACACTCTTTCAGTCCTCCCAGAAAGCGCTGCCCTTCAGAGAGGGGTGCAAGTTCAGCTGGGACTGAAACCTTCCTCTTGTTGGGTTAAGTATCAGATGGGTTTCAGAAAATAATGTCTTTATTTTTATTCTCAATTTATGTGCAAAAACAAGAGTAAGATTCTAAATGGAAGTACAGTAGGGATTTGTTTAGTTTCCCACTTCTTAAAAATGAAAAACAGTAACACTTTAGATTTTTAAACAACAGCAGAGGTAATTCATGACCACAGAATTATTAATTTAAAGCAAATTACTAACCCATTACAAAAGTTTCAGAATAAAAATTGCCTATGCTCTTCCATTTTTATTTTCACCTATTCCCAGAGCAGTGGTGGAGCATAAAAGCTCTTAACAGAGATTTTAAAGTTAGACTTATTTGATTTTTGAATTCTGTTGTCATTTCCTGGCACTGTGACCTTGAAATATTACTAAACACCTCTTATTTGTAATTTCTTCATAAATTAAACAAGAAAATCCTGAGTACCAATGTTATAGGGCTGTCATGATGGAGCAAGATAATGCAGATGGAAAGTTTAGTGTAATGCCTGACATCTAGTACACATACAATTAATGTTAAATTTTATTGTTCTTAACTGCCTCAACATATCCCAGTCCACACAAAAGCACCTGTACAAGCTGTGGATGTAGGTAATGGGATACAGAAATTCAGATCCAAAGCAATGTCAGCTCTTGAATGTCAAGTGCAGAAAAACGTGACATGGGTTAGGAGAGGTAGAGATGGATTACGTGGCCACCAGAAGTATTAATTATGATGAAGACTCCAAGTTAGTCCTAAGGAAGGGTCAATGAGAGCGAGAATAAGAGTTAGTGATCAGGAGAAGGCAGAAGTACAGTTATATAGTTGGTGACATGTTGTGGATAGCTATAGCTTTGATAATATATGGAAATCTGGGCTGTCTGAGAAAAGAAAAAAAAAAAATCAAAGACTCCAAGCAGGACAGGACTTTAAAGAAAGTTTCTGGGAAAATCAAGGGTGATCAAGATGAATGGGGCTGGTAAATGTAAATCTAATTTTAATATGTCTCGATGATATGTTTTATTTTGTTTGTTATTAAATATTTTATGCCTCAGTGCTTGTTTTGTTGACTTGAATTGAGTGGAAAGTTTTTCATGTCACTTGCTCTCCAAGTGTGTATAGCTTCAATCACTGCAGGAGTTTCCTGTACAATCTACGGGAATCTCCCCAAGGCTTCTGCAGCCTGGCCAAACAAGGGCTACAAGCTGCGATGGTAAGGAGGGGGCTGCCATTATTGCCCTTAATGGAAAAGACCAGAGGAAATGTGTTGTTAGCCTAAGATAAGGTGAGCAGTGTCACATGTAGTTTTTAATATTTAATGAATCTATATGGGCACAATCCATTATGTGACAATTTAATTATATGACAAAAAAGTTTGATAAATAATATTGTGGTAGGACATCTAATTCATTATTTAACAAAGAAATCAATACTTTCATAAATCATAGCTCCCCACAGATGTATTTTTACTCTCTCTCCAAGTGTGTAAAAATCCTTATTCAGAATCCATAGGTAATTTATTTTTTGGTCAGGACAAGTTTGAATGGAAGTTTAATTGGGCCCAGGACAGACATAAATTCTATTTACTTTTTTTAACTGTTAAATGGAAAACCTTCTGTTACAAGTTCTTTTCAGCAAGCTTTAACTGAATCTTGGTAGCATTTTCCTACAGTATATTTAAAAACAGAAAGTAAGAGGAGCCATGAATTATATATGAAGAAAATATAATGCTCAAGCCAACAAAGTAAACATATTTTTGTATTCCCTCCTTTTGTCTGGTTTGGTTTCAATGTATGTAAAGTAAGAGGATGTTTATACATTTTGACAGCTTTTAACGTACATTCTTGTTTTTATGAAAGAAGGTTTTATATTTATTGAATATGTGCTGTCAGATCATGACAAATTTTGATTATGTATATGTCAGTCAGCATAGAAGAAAGTTATTTCATCTTTCTTGTTTGAAAATTTGTAATCTGGGAGATGTTCTAGCATTTAACCTAAGTCACAATAAATTGTAGCTCATAATGTTTTTTTACAGAATTTCATTTATCTTCTTTTTAATTTAATAAGAAATTATGCTTCTTTAGATTGAATTTCTATACATTACTTAATTTTCTAATTATAAATATTATTGAACAGATGAAAACACTTACATAATACATTTTATTCACTTATTTGTATGGCTGATTGTATATAAGTAAAGTATTTAAGTTTCTTGCATGCCTCAAAGGAATTACCAATTTGATAAAAACTATTTTCCAATGATAAAATGACCATTTTAAATAGATATACACAACTAATTATCTTTAACAAATTCAGAGCCAGAGCACACCCACCTAAATCTTTCTTTGAATGTAATAAATACATTATTAGCAATTTCTCATCTTATTTTAGCAAATTTATTGCATTAGTAACTGTCTGTCATTATATACTTTTATTATTAATGATTTCTTTTAGTAATGAAGCATAAAAGCCCTATGGATGCATTTTCATTTTTGAATTCAAATAAACTCATTTAGTTCTTTGCTCAGATTCTGCTTAATGGTTCCTAGTTGCACATTTGGTTGAAAATATTAGTATAAGACAATGAAGTTTTTTTACTTCACTTAGCATTATACATTGTAAAATATCAATTTTTTAAACCAGGATTTCATTTTATGTAATAATAATATAATACTCTTGTATGCCAAAGTAGAATTAAGAAAGTATAAATATTTCTAAATTAGTAGAGCCTCAGACCATATCAAATTATAGTCTTTATGATCTTGAAATGCAGTCAGACTGTGAATTTGAATGCTAGTTCTATAATCTTCTAACTTGGTGATCCTGGGCAAGTTTATTATTTTTTCTGTCCTCTTCCTTTTCTTCTTTTGTTAAATTAATGTCTTTACTTTGGTGTTGTCATAGGATTCTTTTTTAATATTTTAATTTGAAAATTAATATAAATTTATACTAGGGCTGGGGATTTATCTCAGCAGCACTGTGCCTGCCTCATAAGCATACGGTCCTGGTATCAAAAAACAAACAAGCCGAAGCAAAACAAAAATTTTAAATTTATAGAAAATTTGCCAAAAAAAGCATACAATTCATATAGCCCAACAATGGCTTCCAAAATCAAGAAGTTAAAATTATCATGCTACTGTTAAATGAACTTCATAGACCTTATTCATTAGTTTCCCCCAAAATAGTTTTTCTTTTTCTCTTCCAGGATTCACTTTGCAATTCTACACTGCGTTCTATTCCTGGGTCGTTTCTGTGTCCGTCATCCAACCTGAATCCATTTCCCTGTCCGTACTCATCCTTCGTGGCCTTGACACTTTTAAAAGACACAATCAATAATTGCAACTATAAAATTTTAATTCCATATGAATTTTCTAGTATTATGAGTTTATGCATTGTTGATACAAGTACCTGAGAGAGGTTTTTATGTTCTGCTTATACATGGTATCAGGAGGTGCATGATGCTGTTTATTACTGGTGATGTTAACCTTGATCACTTGGGAGGGATGTCTGTTATGCTTTGTTCCTGTAATATTCTAATTATTCACTTTTAATATACAAATATCTTGGGATATGTTAAACTGTGTACATATCCTGTTTCTTTTCATACATTCTCCTACTAATTCTGTTGATCAATATAGCAATAATGTGGTTTTGTCTGATGGTGACTTTGAATTTATTTCAATTCTTCCATATTTATTAGTAGGCATATCTTTAAAAGGAAGAGTTGCTTACTCTGCATTTAGGTGTGTTCAATATTAATTTATATTTGAAGCATAGATATTTATTTTATTTCATGAGTTAGAGTCCTGTAGTATCATTACTAATCTTGCTCAAATATTTTTGGTTTGTCCATTGGCGCTCCACTCCTCCTTCACAGGTCTTGATTGCCTTTGGATCACTCTCTCACTTCCTGGTACCATTAGACATACAGGCTTATTGTATTTACCTTATCCTAAGCTGACAGACAACTACCACTTTAATAAGGTCTTATTTCTTTTATTACTATCAAAACACCAAGATCTGGACATTGGGTATATTGAAATTTAATTGTTTCTGAGTCCTCTCAACCAACATATTCACACATATTCATACATTTATATTCATTCTATCACTTTAATCTAGAAACAAACCTGAACTCTGATTCTAATCTAACACTACCAGGTTCTTTCCAACTTTTCCCGTTTTTCTTATATGTAACATTTCTGGCAGCAAAAAAGCTAGGTTTCACCACATAAAATATAGTTACTTATTTGTTCAACACACAGATAATATGATATAGTTACAAAATCACTAAACATATAGTAGTTCTAGACTAGCCATATGAGAAACAGAATCATAATATTACGAGAGACAGATTTACTTATTAAAATATAGTTTTTCTGTAGAGTTCTTTTTAATATTCAGCTCTGCAGTGACTGATCAATACACTGTTATTTAAGGTTAGGTCAACTCACCATAACCTATATTACAGGTTTATATTATATATAGTTATAGTATATAGTTACAGCTATTATTCTTGTGCATTGATTTACTAGAAGCTTTTAAATGCTCCAGGAAAAAAAAAAACTCTCTTTTGTTCAATTTAGGTAGTATGCTAGTAGACAGAAAAGCATGCTTAATCTCAGTGCCATATGTCTGGGTGGCAGTGGAAGATCACTTATATTGGATTGAGATGAATCATGACCTTGCTACCGCTTCTTTCTCTCTGTCCATTCTTCTTGAGCCATGTTTATCCTTAAAATTCACAAAATAGTATATAT